CAGACTGTGGAAAATTCTGAAAGAGATGGGAATACCAGACCACCTGACCTGTCTCCTGAGAAACCTGTATGCAGGTCAGGAAGCAACAGTTAGAACTGGACATGGAACAACAGACTGGTTCCAAATAGGAAAAGGAGTACGTCAAGGCTGTATATTGTCACCCTGTTTATTTAACTTATATGCAGAGTACATCATGAGAAACACTGGGCTGGAGGAAGCACAGGCTGGAATCAAGATTGCTGGAAGAAACATCAATAACCTCAGATATGCAGATGACACCACGCTGATGGGCAGAAAGTGAAGTAGAACTAAAGAGCCTCTTGATGAAAGTGAAAGAGAGGAGTGAAAAAATTGGCTTAAAGCTCAGCATTCAGAAAACTAAGATCATGGCATCCGGTCCCATCACTTCATGGCAAATAGATGGAGAAACAGTGGAAACAGTGTCAAACTTTATTTTTTGGGGCTCCAAAATCACTGCAGATGGTGATTGAAGCCAGGAAATTAAAAGATGCTTACTCCTTGGAAGGAAAGTTATGATCAACCTAGACAGCATATTGAAAAGCAGATGCATTACTTTGCCAACAAAGGTCCATCTAGTCAAGGCTATGGTTTTTCCACTGGTCATGTATGGATGTGAGAGTTGCACTATAAAAAAGGCTGAGTGCCGAAGAATTGATGCTTTTGAACTGTGGTGCTGGAGAAGACTGTTGAGAGTCCCTTGGACTGCAAGTATATCTAACCAGTCCATCCTAGAGGAAATCAGGCCTGGGTGTTCATTGGAAGGACTGATGTTGAAGCTGAAACTCCAGTACTTTGGCCACCTGATGCAAAGAGCTGACTCATCTGGAAAGACCCTGATGCTGGGAAAGACTGAGGGCAGGAGAAGGGGACAATAAAGGATGAGATGGTTGGATGGCATCACCAATTCAATGGACATGGGTTTGGGTAAACTCCAGGAGTTGGTGATGGACAGGGAGGCCTGGCGTGCTGCGGTTCATGGGGTCACAAAGAGTCGGAAGTGGCTGAGCGACTGAACTGACTGACTGATTCTGTTAACTGACTGGAGTGTAGCTGGTTGAAAGAACTTTACTAGATTGATCATTAGGGCCAGAATGTCACCTAACCTGTAATTGGATAATTGGACATGGTGTTCTCTGAATACTAATCATTTACTCCCACTTAGTGATGTGTCTTTGCCAGATTCAATCATTGCCTCTCCCTGACTTAACCTCTTGGGAACATAGGTAAATAGGGTGCTTTATAGAAGGAGAAAGCTGATAAAACATATACTCACTGGCTAGCACCAGGCTTTTTAAAACTCTTGAATTCTTTTGTTGGCATCCATTCCCTGATGGAGTGAAGAACACTTTGAAAGTATTCATTGTGAATTTCTTCTGCCAGCATGAAATTGAGCAAGATGAAAGGGGGATCATATTAAAGTGATTTGAGGAGATTATTGGAAAGGCTTGAATGTGCATTAGTTTGAAGGGGCTATAGACTCAGAGCAATGTGTCTATTAATAGTTAATAGTGTGTAACTATTAAATGTGTGATGATTCAGTCCTTAAATGTTTTCTAATAAAAAGTTTGACATTTACGTTTACTTGGTTTTATGTTGATTTCTGTTGTGGCAAAGTGGCTGAGGGTGTGAATTTTATGTGAATTTGAAAAAGAAAATGTCGTCCATATGCTAGAAATGGTCTAATTATAAGCACATGTTGGGTTTTACTAATTTTGTGAACAAAAGTTAATCTGTTCTTTGAACAATAATAGGGTAGTTATCGTTTGAGTCATCTGTGTCCACAAGTTGACACGCATGAGAGTGAAGAGTAGCACTTAGAGTTACAGAGAGGGACTGCACGAAGGTACCGTTTCTCCCACACCATAGCTGCTCAACTAGCAAATGAGAATTTGGAGACAGACTTGGAAAGTAAGACAAGGATTTTATGAAGTTACGCTGTGCATAACTTGCACTATTTCCAGTGCAGGTATCCCCCCAGTGTTTCTGAAATACTGAGATGATAGCAGGTTTAGAATTGGATTGTTCCAGCTGACTGTTCCAGTTGATTGATCTGACTGACCAAAAAGCATCGTGCCAGTGAAGTATGTTCTTAGGTGCTTCTTTGCAGCTCTTCACTAGTGCAGTTTCGGTGCTACACACACCTGCTCTCTCAGCTGCGTCACTTTTCCGGATGGGGAGGTATTGCCATTCAGCCGGAAGTTTGAGGGTAACGCGCCTTCAGTATCGCAGATCCTGTTAGGCTTGAAACTAATATACATGTCCCCAGATCAGCTGAGAGAGAACAGCAAGGTGAGAACCAGGCTGTTGTCAGAGCGTCTTCTCCCCCTTTTGTTTCCACCCCTTTCCCTCCTTCTGTGAAGAGTGTCTTCTCAGAAAACAGATGTTGAGGCAGCAGAATACAGGGATGCTTGCTTTCCATGGATAAAAGATCAGGATTTCGAGTACAATCTGGTTGGGGAAACTTGATATTTTGGAGCCTCAATCATTTATTTTGTCTCCTTTCTGAAATCCAGGGATTGAGTTTAGGTATTTAAACTTAACATTTTTTTTAAAGCAGTGAAACTGATTTTTTTTCAGTAACTATAGTAGTTCCCCGCTTTATCCTTGAGTGAGGGTATGATCCAAGACCCCCGGTGGATGCCTGAAATTTTATGGATTTACTGAACAATATATATACTGTTTTTTCCTATACATATGATTATAATCATATGCCTATGATTAAGTTTAACTTGTAAAGTAGGCACCATAAGAGATTAACAATAAAATTAATAAAATAGAACTTACATATTTTTTACCCAGAAGAGGTAACTTAGTTGATTCTTATGTAGAACAATACAGTGTCAACAGCATATTTGCGTTTTGATACTTGAGCAGCTAAAAAAAAAAAAACCCAAAGCTTAGTGAAAGAGGAGTGGATAAGGGTGAAAGAGTTTGAATCTGCAGTGGTGTTTTTTGGAATCTACAACAGTGCTGATGTTTTTCCATCTAAAGAAAGGTTTGTTTTGGATATTATGATGAATTCTGTAGTCCTTGTTTATAGATAAATGAATTGTCTGACCAGTCAAGTGGAGGAAAAACAGCTCTTTTTTTTAAGGTTGATTTCAACTATATTAAGCGTATTTCCTCCTTGGATATAAAACTTTAGATTATAGGAAATTTGCAAGTATTTTTCAGTTTCTTAAAAATTATAATTATATACCTATTTAATTTTTTTCCTGTTTTCTGGGTCTTCTCTGCACATTATTGCTTACCATTTATTGCTATTTATATTTAACTATTGCAATTCTAATAATAAGCATGTTCCTATAATGATAATAGCCCTTCCCTTGTAGCTCAAATCGGTAAAGAATCTGCCTGCAGTGCAGGAAACCTGGGTTTGATCCCTGGGTCAGGAAGATCCCCTGGAGAAGGAAATGGCAACCCACTCCAGTATCCTTGCCTGGAAAATCTCATGGACAAAAGAGCCTGGTAGGCTGCAGTCCGTGGGGTCACAAAGAGCCAGGCACGACTGGGCCACTAGCACTTACTTATAATGATAATAAATATTAAGGTACCCAAGGACTGGAGCTGTTCCCAAAATAGTGAGGGTTTAATTCTGTTTTTATCACACACTTGGCATATTCTGGTAGGGCTGTATTTTAAGTCATATCCGGGATTCTGGGATCATTGTCCCTATACATGTGACTGTGGAGTCAGAACGTGGAGGAAGATGCTGTGTCCTTCGGGACCACAGGAAAGAGACTGAGAGGGAGGCGAGTTCAGCAGAGTGCAGCTGGGAGCTGTGGGGGAGAGGTCACCAGGGTGAAGACCCAGGGGCAGACGTTTTGACTGGAGGGGGTTTTGGAGGTCACCCCATCTCATGCTGCTTGAACTGTTGGAACAGCCCCTGGCTTTGGGCCTGGAGGGAAAAGTCCAAGAGGCTCCCAATCCGGACCCAGCGTCCTCCTGTGCAGTGCTGCTTCCTGAAACATCTGATTTCGTGTGTTGAGATTTGAGAAATAGGTTGTGCTGTCGAATTTTTTTTTTTTTTGAAGACCACTGAATTGAAGCCACCAATGAGACTCTTCCATGGCAGTAGAATCCTGATTTTATAGGTAAAGAAACAGGCACAAGAGACATCTGAGATTGGGTGGATCCCAGCTCTTCCAACTCCTGTCTAAAAAGCCACGTGGGCCCTAGAAGTTGAGGGAGTTGATGGAGTAGCTGTGATTGTCAGAGTTCTAATACAAGAGTGGATGAAACTATTCACACCAAATCTGGTACTTGCTATTTTATATGAGAATTAGACTACTTAAATTTCAGAAGGCTTTAGTTAGCTTCAAATTCAGAAGCTCTTGAATTAGATAGGAAGAACAGATTATGTCATCAAAGGAGTAAGACTTTCCCTTCTCTATAATCTTTTTATTTATTTATTTTTGTTCACTAAACTCAAGGTAAAATATGGAACCAGGATCAAACTCTGGATTGGAAAATGGTAATTAACACATCCTTTCCTAGCCTCTTGTTTCTTTTTATTTGATATACCAACTCTTTTGAGAGTAAACTGGAGGATTGTGTCTTAAGGTTTGATGTGATTCACATTTTAATATTTACAACAGTTTTGATTCTTTATTTTGTTAAAAAGCTGGCTTAATTTGATTAATGTTGAATGAAATACTCTCTATTTTAAAAAATTTTTTATATGATTTTCAAATTGACTGATGTCCTTCTACTAGGGTCCTGATCACTTGGGCTGAATTTGTTTGCTTTTTCTTAATCTATTTGCATTGGCTGGAGCTGTTGTGAAAAAAGGCCCCACGGGAAGAACAAAATTAGCTTAGTAATTTTGCTCATTCAGCCATGCATATGTAGCACCACTGTTTTCATTCCTGATGTTGCAATTGAACTGGATCTAAAGCGAGTAATTTTCATATCCTTTTGAGTAAGTCTGTCTCTCCTGTCACTCTGAAGTCTTGTTTGTATTATCTGTTTTCTTCTAGGTGAGGAATTTTAAATTGGAACAGGAACAAGAAAAAAACAAAATTTTATCAGAAGCGCTGGCGACTCTAGCCACTGAACATCACGAATTAGAGCAGTCTCTGGTTAAAGGTTCCCCGCCTCTGAGCATCTTTAGTGAGGACGAGTTCTATGATGCTCTGTCAGGTAATTGCAGAACCCCACCATCTGGGTCTTTGGCAATTCACAGTTGACTGCCTAAATGTCGTCTTAGGGTAGATGTCACCTTGAGTTCCCTGGAGTAAACAGATGGAAATGTATTGCTACAGCTCCCCAGTGACCTACTTTTTGTGTGATGTTATTAAGGCAGGAGCCCGAAAGTTTGAAATGAAAGTCATCACTGAGTCTGCCTTGGTTGACAGCCTGTGCTCTGCTAGGGCCAGAGGGCTGTGAATCTGGTTTATTGTTTTATTCGTTGACTGTTAACTACCTCCTGGTACAAGGTGCTATTACCTGTTAAAGGACAGAGGTGGATGGTTTATATCCTCAGAGAGGTCTTACAAGTAAAGGACACAGATAAAGAAGAATTGGTTACAATATGGCATGCTGTGTGCCGAAGGGAGAGGTGAGGCCACAGTCTACCTGGAGCAGAGGAAAGGAAGAACTTAGCTTGGCCTCAGAGGTGCATGCCTCAGAGCAGTGCAGCCCGCTGGCAATGGGCAGAGGCTTCAGAGCCAGATCCTTTTAAGAGGAGGTACTGCTGAGTAGTTTTGACTTTTTATGAATTTCCTTTAGAATTTGAGGTAGGTGTGGGTGGAGTCATGGAAGGAATCATGGAGGGGATGACTGGAGATGATTGAGACTGAGAACAATTCTTTTATGTAAGGAAATTAAGTGCTCATTTAGTAGATGAACGTGTACAATTGCTGGGTCTCACAGAACTTGACGGTTGAAGCAGGAGAGCTCAGTGGATACGGAGTTAAAGGGTTATATTCATAATAGGAAACTAAAGGAAGCACAGTGAGAGGTCACAGAAATGAGAACTACAGAAAGTTTGGTTAAGGAAGTTAAAGTGGTGTGATGATACAGGACAAGGAAAATGATCTTGGCGGACTTAACAGAGAAGAGATTGATTACAGAAGATCAGCAGAGCACACAGGAACATTAATTTTAGAAGTGTGACATGATCAAAAGATGGGGGAAAGCTAGTTCTAACAGCCAGATGGGGGAATAATTAGAGAAAGGATTGTAACGACTACGATGGTGGCAATTAGATGGGGTATTTGTGAAAATAGTGATTCAAATTGGGAAGAGAAAGTAGAAATCAGATTTGAAAGCAGTGGAATGAGTGGTGGGGTTAAAGGAGGCTTTTAGCCTGGTTGGGGGAAGGGAGGCGAGGACACCAAGGCTGCTGACACGTCTTCCCGTCTGTCCTCTGCCACATCCTGTCCCGATACCCCCTGTGTTCCTTCTGTTCAGAAATCCAGAAAGAGATGCTTCAGCTGTTCATCACTGATGATATTTTTTTTAATATATATATTTTATTGAAATATAGTTGACTTACAAAGTTTCAGTTGCACAGTAAAGTGATTCAGTTATACGTATACACATATATTATTTTTGAAATTATTTTCCTGTGGGCTATTACAAGATATTGACTGTAGTTCCCTGTGTTATACAGTAAACCTTTGTTGCATGTTGCATTCATCATTGATGTCTTTAAAAAAAATTTAGTTTTTAAGAAAAAGCTTATTTGTTATGAACAGTTCAAGAGAGAAGTACTTATAGTGCCCAGTGAAAGTTTCCCTTCATCCCTCATCCCAATTGCACACTTCCTCAGAGGTTCTTGTTAACAGCTTGATAGATTCTCTTGCAAACCTTTTTAAATCAATCCCATGTATATGTGCCCGTGTATCTGTGTTGTTTTTTTTTTAATCATGAGTGGAAGTAGCTGTGTAATTGTCCTGGGTCTACTTTTCACGGCACAATGTATCTTGGAAATACACACCAGTATTTTTCCCACCAGTACTACAACTGTAGCTCATTCTTGTTAAAGCTTCCATGAAAATCAGTGACATGGTTGAGCAGAATTTTCTGTCATTCTCTGCTTGATATAGGAGCTACTCTTATCTTTCTGCTTCTCGGGTGTATTTTAACATTTATTTCCATAGTTGTCTCCTTGGGGAGAAGGAGATAAAAAGAACTACAGTCCCTCAGTCAGGATTGGAAAATGAATTTCCTCTCAAGTGCCAGTTCAGATCTGTTTGCAGAACCTGCCTCTTGAAGGGTTGCTGTGCTGAGAAGGATCCTGGCGCGGAGTCAGTGCCGAGCTGAGTCAGCGCGTTCCACGTGGCTGGAGATGAGTGCGAGGGACTGCTGCCCCGAGTGACCCACCTGAGTTTTATTACATTTGCCTGAACGTAGTAGCCTTTCTTGGGCCGCTCCTACTTCCTGCCGCAAATCTCGGGAATCCTTTGGTGCAATGTAGAACTCTATTAGAATTATGAGTTGGCTGCCCAGGGTTGAAGTCTTGCCCTGCTGGTGACCTAGCCACATAATTCACTGAGATCATAAAAGCCATCATTTGGGAACGACTTTGTCTTCTCACTGTAATCTACACATTAACCTTCATTCCCACTTCCTCTTTTTCTTCTGTTACAAAAGAAGTGTTCCCTTTTAATTAAGGCCATTTCCTCCTGGTTTGTTCTGGTACCCATCTCTTTGTGCCTCCTCCAGAACTTAGGTTTAGTTATTACTTTTTTCACCTACAGTTTCTTTTTTTTTTTTCTTCAAGTTTTATTGAAATAATTGACCTACAGCCCTGTCAGTTTAAGGTGTACAGCATAATGATGGGGCTCAAATCATGAAATGATTATCACAAGTTTAGCAAACATCCATCATCTCATAAGGTACAAAATTAAAGAGATAAATTTTTTTTTCCTTGTGATGTGACTTCTGAGGATTTACTCTTAACTTCGTGTATAATGTACAGCAGTGTTGATTATATTTGTCCTGATCTATGTTACATCCTTAGTACTTAGTTATCTTATAACCAGAAGTTTGTACCTCTTGAATCTATCTTCATCTATTCTCCCTCCCCTTTCTCTGCACCTCCAGTAACCAAAAATCTGATCTTTTTCTGTGGAGTTATTTGCTTATTTGCTCTTAAAGTGTTATTGACCTGTAACACTGTGTTAATCCTGTTACCTACCCAGGGACGCCCTTCCCTGCTATTTGGGTTCCCCTGGTGGCTCTGACAGTAAAGGATATGCCCACAGTGTGGGAGACCCAGGTTCGACCCCTGGGTTAGGAAGATCCCCTGGAGAAAGGAATGGCAACCCACTCCAGTATTCTTGCTTGGGAAATCCCATGGACAGAGGAGCCTGGCAGTCTACTGTCCTTGGAGTCACAAAGAGTCGGACACGACTGAGCGACTAACATTAACTTACCCAACATAGTGATTCAATATTTCTGCACATTTTTAAATGGTCAACTTAAGTCTAGGCATGTAGAAGTTTGTACCTGTTCATCTCTGTCACCTGTTTCTTTCTATACCACATTATCTTAAATACTAACTTAGAATTCCTATAATAGTTTCCTGTGGCTGACAGAAGAAATTACCATAAATGTAGTGGTTTAGATAATGCAGATTTATTCTCTCAGCTCTGGAGGTCAGAAGTCCTGTAATAAGGTGTTGGCAGGTCTGTGTCCCCCTGGAGGGCTGTAGAGAGAATCTGCCTCCTTGTGTTTCCAGCTTCTAGAGACCACCTGCATTCCTTGGCACGAGGCCCCATCCTCCCATCTTCAAAGCCAGCAAGTTGACTTCTTCCAATCTCTCTGACCTTCTTCCCTCCCTTTTATAAAGACTATAGCAATCACAGCGGACCCATCCAGATAATCCAGGGCAGCCTCCCCAAGTCAAGGTCCTTAACTCAGTCACACCTGCAGAGTCCTTTTACAATGGGAGGTGACCTATCCGAAGGTTCCAGAGACCAGGAGGGACAGTTGTTCTGACTACCACAGTTCCGGAATTTATTTCTCCAGCCCTGACCTCTTGTGAGATCCATATATACTCAGTTGTTAGCTGGATAAATAAAAGATGGATTCTTGATCTTCCTCCTAGGTCCTCTTCCTCCTGGAATTTGCTTAATTTTAGTAAATGGCGCCTCTTTCATCTCCTAAAGCTGGAAATCTGGGAGATTCGTGGCACTCATGGGCCCCCTCCCTGAAACACAGACCAGGGCCCGTCCGTTCTGCCCATCAGTCATGCCTTGAATCCATCTGTGTTCTGTTACTGCAAGGTGATCATTAAAGGTGTAGGTGCTGCTGCTGGAAAACTGTTGATAAATGGTGGTTCCACCAATTCCTGTAGCCTTTGGAAAATGACTTCACTTTCCTGTGCCTCATTTCTTCATCTGCCGGTGGGTCATAGGATTATCGGGGGGAATAAACACTTCACATTTGTACTATAAGCAGTGTCTAGCACACTGAGGGGCTGCCCAATGTTCACTCACAGTATCATCACCTGCTCTGCACCTGCTCTCGTCCAGCCTCTTAACTGATGGCCATGCTTCCTGCCTTGCCCTCTTGACCTTCACTCCATACATACCACCCACACGGATGCTTTATAGACAATCACGGCATCACATTCCCCTGCCCAGAATCCTTCAGTGGCTCTTCACTGCACCTGGAACAAAATGCAGACTCCCTAATAGGCCTTCCAGGTTCCCAACATGACCCCCACCTTGCCTGTCCCGTGTTCGTTCCAGCCAACTGGGCATCTTCCATCCTCACCACGCAGCCGTGACAGAGGCTGTTGGGTGGGACGAAACAAGTATACAAACCTGCATTTCATACAGTTTCTGAATCAGAATAATAGATTAAATCAAGCATACCTTAATGTTTAAAAGAAATGAGAAAAAAGGCTTTTAAAGCTACTTCTCTTAGAATACTTCTAAATAATTTTCAGCAAATGCTTAGTCTGCTTTTTAAAAGTCAGTTACAACTTGTTACTTCCTTTAAAATTAAATCCATGTGACTTCCTGTTTTCCCTTTAAATGTTTTCAGATAAGCAGGGTCAGTGAAAATGTAATACAGTAGGTGAGACAAATCTTGATATAAGCCTATAGTGTAGTGTATTTTTTCCAGCCCCACTTGGGTCTTTTAATTATTTAAATTTTTTTCCAGTATGCTCAGTGACTTAAGAT